TAATAGACTTAACTTGTTGTTGACTACTTATAAATATTATGTATTATTCCTATACATAAAAGATTATAATTACGCTATTAATATAAAGGGCTATCCGAAACGGGTAAGATGGTATCTCTAATGGGATTCGTTGCCTTTAAACGTGATTCGACGTTGTTACTCTCGCTGTACATAAACATGTGACTTGTATGAGATACAGTCGGTATACGTACGATGAGTAACGCCTCTTATCTTTTGATTTATTGCGACGCTAAGAATAGATTTGATTGGCAACATTCTGTACCTATTTAAAGGTCAACCCTCCGTTCTTTCTAAAGGCATGCTTCATATAGACTACAAATTATTACACAGATTGTTACCATGACGACAGACACATGTAGAATCCATTTCCTGTCTATAATAATTCGAGTCAAGTGGAATACAAGACTAAAAGAGATCAACATGCATTAAACCTAAAATTTAATATAAAAATAAGGCTACGCAGCGGTAAGCTCATAGTATGGTTCCTACATTTGGTCGCTCCTATATGATGGTTGATCCTTTTATGATTTATTTTATTAAGTTAAAATAACAGTATCATTATTGTACATTTGCATAATGCGCTTCTTCTATCCGTGCGCTCGACATAGACGCCATTCGTGACATTTTCCCGTTTGCCATACATTTGGTCCCTCTTGTATATGTGTAGATCTAAAAATAATGAAGAGAAATGGAGTAATCCATACTGACAAATGGAATGTTTATGTCAATGGAGAATAAAGCTTCCAATAGAAAGATGTATACGTAACAGGTAGGTAGTGAATGATCGGAGAAAGTGCGCTCACCTCTTGAAAGTAACTTCAATCATGGCTGGGTAATGTAACTTTTTGCTTGTCAAGAAAATTCGTACCCGTGAGGAACATATACGAGAAAAAAAATAGGAGTATAGACACTTAAACGAAGCTCATGGACATTTCAGAATTGATTTGACCGCGGATTGGTTGTGTGAAAGGGAGAGCAAAAATAGCGTCGGGAGCAAAGGACGGGGCGGGTTGGGACAATAAGTCAACGTAAAATAATATACAAACTTATATAGTATATATTAGTAAAGTAGATATGACCTGTATATGACAAACAACGAGAGTAACATATATCATAGACCGCAGTGTACTAATAATAATAATACTGCTGCAAGATGGCGTTGTCACAATGAAACAAGCATTGATCAAGATTCGTCGAGCAGTCGTCATTAAAATGCAATCCTTCGAGGGCTGCAGTTTTGCTGTAATGGACGGTAATGGTCCAGACCTCTAGATATTGTACTTCGCTTTCTGTTTATGAAGAAATACATTCTCATGTACTAAGACATGAGCTCATTACAAAAATGAAACGTAATTAGTCAGTAGTCAGCTAAGTTCATTGGGGTCGGAGGAAATGTGGGATCGGTTGTGGTCACATCTGGAGTTGCATTTGGATTAGGACTATTCCTATTACGTGACTGCTTTCATAATATGTACTTCCTTTTTTAACTTTATGATATCTATACGGATTTTATTTAGATGCGTAACAATTTTATCAGTCTATTTTTGTTATTTGAGCAGCTATTTAATTCATTAAAATAACTAACCGGTGTTCATACAATATATAACGATTAAATGGCATTCAATTCAATAATCATGACGATTATTGCCATGCCTAATATTGATAGTAGTTAATTACTATTTTCATTATTATACTTATTCTACTTTGATGAGCTTATCGATACCCGCCAAGCCTTGTGAAGCTATATCTTGAGTGTACCTAAATCACCTGGCTGATGCCCTATACGCAGGGGTACGATGAAGTGCAAGTGAAAAGTAGCCCCTATGATGTTAAAAGAAAAGAGCTCTGTTAATAATATAAATACTGAATCGAGATCCTAATATAATTTTGACGTTTGCGTCAGAAAGCTGATGTGGCATGTTCGATGTGCCGAGCATCGGCTGATGTGTCTAACAATTACAGACAAGGTGACAAACTTCTCGATGGCGATGACAACGACAAATTTCGCCATATTTTTATTGTATAATTTTCTTTGTTAGTGTCCTTCTATGGTTCATTCAAATAGCTTCTATTTTGTCGGATTAGTTTTTTGTTGCTTAAATTCTATGTTGGGGTGGTGTTGAGGATGAAAGTCTGTGATATTATATCGCTGTAATTCATAACTACAACAAGCCGAAGATGATGATGATAAAGTTTGTTCCACAGTTAAACCTTGAAGGAGAAAATAAATCTGAAAAAAATGTGAGCTTTTCCCTGCTTGCTTGCTGTAAAATGCAAAATACTATTACAACAACCTATTCCTATTCGATTCTCTCTGCCAGAGAAACAAACGGCAGATCATTTTCACAATACACACACGCTCACACAAACACACACACACACACACACACACATTATCACTATAATATAACAAAATGAAAAAAAAATAGAACATGAGCCACACTTCATCTATTTACAGATATAACAGTACTAAGATACCGATGTAGAAAACTCATTAGAATACACTTTATTAGTATTATAATTTTTGTCAATATATTATTGTTCAGTTGGAAAGTAATTGTCACCCCCAGTTATCGCCCAATCAGCCCCAAGCCGAAGGGAAATCAATGGCACGTTGACTGATTCTGCTGAGCGAACAAGAGCGAGATCGGTGAAAGGGAATTATTTATGTCGCTTACATTGTCTAAGATGTTGCTGATTAAGGTCAATATTAAAAAAAAAAAAGGAAACAAATGTATTGTAAGAAAAGTGAATTATAACAAGGGAGTTTGAGATCAGAAAAAGGAAAGCCAGAGTCTGTGTGAGTGTGAACAAAAGTACATAAATAAAGGTCGTAGATTTATATAT